AAATATGACNTAATAAAAACGAACTTCTGAATATGCATTTGTCAGCGCGAAATATAACGAAATATTTGTCAAACAAGATAAGATTTGTGATCTTTTCGATATATACATATAGTTCCACTAAGATTCAAAGACCACTAAAATTTGTTACGTCAAAAGATAAAAGAATTGTTCTCTGTACAACAGCTAGTTTGCTGAATTATATTTAATAGGAGAACAATTCTTTAAGAATTCAGAGAACGAATACCGAGGTTCGCTTTCCAGTTTCCTATTCGAATACTGTTCTCAAAAAAAAAAAGAAAAAAAATCGAAAATTACCAGTTTCAAAATCTGAATTCCCAGCACTTTTTGTTAAATCAGATTTCGCTTGTTTTGGTTGCTGTCCCCGTGCAATTTTCTGCAAAAAAAAAAAGGCAATTTTGTTATTAGGTTTTGTTATCTTAGAAAACTTCATAATAATCTAATGAAGCTCAACAAAAACAATGCATGAATCTATGTACCTAACTTAACCAATTATCAGAATGATTTGCAATAGATGTGTACAATGAGGGAAAAAGTTGTGTTATACGATTAAATTTTTCCTACCATGTAACATTTCTTAAGTGTTTAACAATTTACAACAGATGCTTTCTCTCGATATCACACAATCTTAAAATGTGTTCGTACAATGAAATGTAAATTTAAAGAGCTTACTTCAGAAATAGGTTTAGCAGTAATAGCATTTCTGCTATAGGTATCGACAGTAGTAGTTGTTGTTGCAGCAGCAGCACTAGATTTTGCATGCCGTATTTCTGGCTTAGCCCGATCAAAATCCCCCGCTGCAACAGAAGCAGCAAGTTGACTAGCAGTCTCCGGATCTATTTCATCACCTTCGTCCAGCAGTACATAAACTGGCTCACCATTAGCGCCTTTCAATGCCTGTACCTGAAAGCAGAGATAGTATTATAATGAAAGGGACAAATTTCAGCTTGATTTCATTTTTATCTTATTTATTTTTCCATTTTTGTATTTCACAATTTGGTTACATAAAACCATGTAAAATGATGCTAAAATGGATAACAAACTTTTTTGAAGTCGACACCATATTGTGCTTTAAGCGTTGCAATTGTGGCTGGATCAGTGATGATACCTTCAGAATGTTCTACAATGGAAACAGAATTTGAACAGGATAAGAAATATATAAATACATATACTGGTATAGGCAAAATAAGTTCAGTTTACACTACACTATTTACGTATTACTTCACTTTAATCTTTCAAACGTTTTAACTGATATTTCAAATCAAATTCGACTAACCCTGGTTTCGTGCCATTCGCTTACGCTGCGTATTATTACCCTGGAAACATGATGCCTTCAAAGAACAGTATTTTACTCAAGGGTTTGCGTAACTTCGGTGGTTAGAAATGCATGAAGTAATGGCATAATGAGCAGTAAGAAAGGAAAACTACCGGTACTACCAATACTGGTAGTACCGTTTGCAAGATTTTGCCAGCTTCCGACAGGGGTATTCGCATTTTACTATGCAGTGTTGTTTGTTGCTGTTATTAGTTCTGTAATCTCAAACTACTGGTCCAAACAATACATTTTAGCAAATGCTGAACTTTCTTTTCGGAATAGATGGATGAAATTACACCGAAGCGAATTCCAATGATTACTCTGAAAATACGCAAACGTACCGAATCCGCAGCAGAAGCAAATTCAGGCATTAAATCTGGGTGTTTGGACCGAAGATGACGAATAGCTCGGCACATATTAAACGGTCGATGCAGCATATATGTCATGTTGCAAACTAAGCATTCAATCAGTTGTGGATTGATGAATTCCATGCACCCATCAGAAATCCTCTCCAATCTTGTCTGCAATGAAAACCCTGATTTGAATCTCAGGTTTCCTGTAGTATTATCATAGACGGCTATTACCAGATGTAATGATGACCGCGAAATATCAAATATTTAAAGCAGCAGAGACGGACATAAAATGCAGCAAGTGGAAAAGTTCCAAAACTGCATTATGGAAAGTGAAAAAAAGTATAAACAGAAGAACTGTTTTGGATCAAACATGCTTTCCCCTGTACTATGACCAAATCATAGCTCACGCAGAGATCATTCGTCTCTTCAAATTTAAAAATTGGAAAAAAATGGAACAAACCATAACCTTGCATAGTTCGTATTGCATGTTGTGTAGATGATGTGGATGCTCGGTTCGGAAATGACGTATTGCTCCAGCACTTATCACAGCTGCTAATATATCTCCATTACACATCTTACATTTCCAATGACAATCATTTACTGCTTCCACATATCGGCTATTCACCGGAGCTGCTTGTCGTAATGCAGGCATTATAAACTGCCGTTTTGGTTTACTTCGGCGACCTGGAAAAAAGAAAACGAAATGAAGGCATGCAAACGGTATTATCTGTTGAACAGTGATATGGTCTGGTGTTAGCCCGCATTTTATATCTTAGTGTTATACAGTGTGGTAGACAATGGTTATGATATCTATCATCTAATGCAATCGATAAGCGAAAGCATTAACAGAAAAAAGCGAGACTCGTATAAGCTGTGTGAAGAGGAAAACATAATATACCACCCCTTTACAGTAAATAATTTACAACGCTCTCATTACGTTTAATTCCAAAGCTGTTTGAAAATCCCAACAATTAATACTAACCGAATGTCATTCGACTATTTACATAACTTGCAGCCCTTTCTTCTTCCATTTCATCATCCTCGACATCGTTCGCATTTTTTCCTTCTTCACAGAGTTTAAGTCGCTTTTCTATTGCTATAAAAATATCAATGGTCAAATTACGCTTAACTATTTCGAGAAATTTACTGTCTTCTTTCCGAAAAAAGCCGATTTCTTCGATGCATCGTTTGTGATATATGTTACATATACATCTGGGGTACTTCCATGAGAACTGTCGCTATACCAAAGCGCAAAAAAAAAAAGTGCAGCAGAAAAGTGGAATTCGTGAAATAAATCACTTTAGCAAAACAAACCAGCATGTAAACGAGCTTCTGATGTATGCATTGTATCATATTTCCCACATCTGATACGATGTTCATCAGGCATTGAAACATCAAAGTCATCACCATATTTTTCCAGCAAACGAGCATTAATAACAAGTTCCTTAAAAGGAAATCCTCCAACCAAAAGAATTCAAAAATTTGTAGAAATTCAAGATGCCAGCAATACTTATAAATGGATAAAATTGTTCAAGAAAAAAAGTACCTGTAGACAAAGATTACATTTTGGCACTTCAACTTCTTCTGGATGAACTTCCGAAAAATGCATAGCAAGCGCTTCGGCTGCCATAAACATTCCACACCATATACATTGTAAATTAGCTCCACGATCAAGCGATGTGTCAATGACAGCAAAATCTTGAATTGATAAAGGTTTCCCAAGTCCTGGCTGTGGCTTCTAAAAAAAATAAGAATATACCATGAAATGAAGTAAATTAAACGGTCAAAGTCAACATTAAAATAGGTCTTACCAAAAATAGATAAGGCAAAGAAAAATGGTACATGAGAGTTTATAAGCATTACATCAAAACGGTAAGAACAAAACGTTAACGAGTATGAAGACGAATTTAATTTTTAATGACAAAAAATGTGGTTATTTAACGACACTTATCTATGCCTCCAAAAATCAAGTTTACAGATTTTCGAATTAAATCTGAAAATACTGAAGAACATATTCTTATTCAACCCGTGTCCTCGAGACGCATAGGATTAAGGTGGTGAGAAGTCCGAAACAAGAAAGGTCACGTTTCAGGTCAATAAATTCATACGAAACAAATAGCGAATACTTAAGAATTTTTTGAATTCCTAATGAAAATTTTAGAAGTAATCTTATTCGTAATACAATCCTGATATCTCATTTGTATTTAAAATTAACTGAAATCTACCTTAAGTTTCCATTTTCCTGCACACTGATGAATCGATGGGTGCCATGCATTGAAATGTCGAACTAGATGAACAACCTCAAATTTACGATTAAGCGATACTACTGCGTTGCAAATACCACAACGTGCGTGTTGTTTATCCACCAAAGTTACGGGTACCTGTATGCAGCATTTATTATCTTATCTGAAGCTGACATCACTGCTGTGTCATATATTATGTAAGCTATGATACAATATACGCTTGTCTAGCAATAATTTTAGCAGTTAAACGATAAAAGACGACATTATTATCTAACAAGTGAAAAAGTACATGGTCCATAAACTACATGTCAAAAAAGATAACACATACTTTGTTTTGCAAGTATTTCAACGGAGATTCTAATAACGATTGGAGTTTAGTAGACTTACAGGAAGAAACTCTAATTTTTTTATTTTTCATCTATTATGTTTGGTTCATACGTTCAATTTATTCAGAAAATATACGCGAATAACAGAATTGTAAACATACGGCGCGACCCAATTTTTCAAACATTTTCTTCCGTAGTGCTGTTATTAGTTGATTAAGCGACATTTCGTTTGGATTGACACGAATCTGAAAATAATAAAAATGCTGCAATGACGCTTGAACATTTCACCGTACTCAATTTCACACAAGAAGCGACTTAGAAACTAGCTTTATAGCAGGCACTGTTCGATATATTTTAAGGTAGTTAAATTTTCGTTTTCATAAACATAAGGAATTTAAAATGTTCGAAGTGATCGCGCCAAATTTAATCCGCAAACTTTTTATATATCGCAAAGTTTTCGCTTGCATATCACCAGGTGTTCTACCTATGAATCTTATCACAGACAAGATGAGCAAGGTTCTCAAACACTATCTCTGTTGCAACCTAGTTTTGCTTTACTAAATCAGAATATGAACGTTTTTACCGTAGATACGCTTCGATAAATGCGATTGGAATTATGACCAGATGAAAGATCATCATAAATGTTGCACACATTATTTTCCATGCGTCGCTTCTCTTCGCTTAGCTTTTCTCTTAACCAAGTTTCGTATGGAACATCTTCGAATGCTGTTACGCCCTCTTCTAACACCTAAAAATTACCGAATAAATAAAATTAACTTACTGTGGCGACATATTAACTTTTTCTCTTGTATCAATACGTTTCTTTTGAACCGCTTTCCATCTTAGTTTTGTCAAAAAATTACAATAAATTCCTTAGATTTTCCAAGCAAAAAAATACATTGAGGAATGAGAATATCGCGAATGTGAACAAAGAGATAATTCCATTACCTCGGGATGATGCTGTGGAATATGTGAACTCAACAATAAATCATACAGAACAATTTCACCACACAAGCCACAGCATATATTTTTTGAATCCAAGAAACTAAATTCAACCGCTCGGAGATCGTGGCGTATATTCGCTTCAACATTATCACCTTCACTCATGAATAAGGCGTTTTCGTCTTAAAAATGACAAGTATTAGCCAAGAGTTACTTCATTTTCATGGTTTTTACAGTCATACTGGTGGTTCACGCCTATAGGAGATCAACTCTTATAGAAATAGTTACGGTACAGAGAAGAAGGAAAATCTAGCACTCTGGAATGCAAAATAAAAAGCACTAAAATGTGACTTGAGGCGTAACAACCTAAATCATTAAATTACTTTCAGTATGTGAAAGTCGCAATTGTTAACAAAAGCCAAATATATCACGAAATAAAAATACCTAAAAAACTTGACGCTCAAAAGATTTAAATTTATCTCTTTCTAGAAGAAATTTAGCAAACTAAATATTTAAATATCAAAGAAATCAATTTTGAGGCGAAGAAAAACTTACCGTCAAGAGTTTGTCCAGGAGCAAGTTGTATGAACTGTTCCGTTCCGTTTGGTGTTTGAACACAGATAACTTGCATCTCACCCACGCCGTCGGTAAAATTCGTTGTCTCCTTCAATTGAGAAAAAAGAAAATTAGAGAAAAGGTATTTTTAAAAAAAATTAACAAAATGAATAGGTTACGAGAAACTATTTCGTATAATTTCAAAGAAGAACTATACAAAGACATACATCATGTTTACTTCCACTTGAACGTTGCACAACCTTCTGCAAAGCAGGACTTTGAGGTTCTAGTTCCGGTGGCGCTTCATCGTCATTGGATTCGACATCATCATTAATCTGTTCGACCATATCTTCTTGCTTTGGTAGTGTACGAAGTGTACGACCTAAAATTCAGTGAATTTGTAATTATAACGTAATAAATACAATAAAACTGAAAAAGGAAACGAATATCTCGTCACAACAAGACCACATAAAGACGACATAACCTATTGACAGGTCTACTGCTTAGCACTATGTTTTTCCTTAAGACTGCAACAACTTTTACTATGCTTTTATCAATGCAGAAAATTTCTGGTATATATTGCTCTACTTCGAACCAGGTAATAGCATAAGCCACAAATGCAATTTACCTTCTTCCTGCGTTTCCTGGATAGATTGGCTTCGCAAGCGCTCCGTACTCATAGCACTATCACAGTTATCCCTTTCATCAGTAGCACCTGCAGCTACAAGGTCATCGCCAGCCGCATATATCAGTTCCTCTTCTTCGAAGCTACTTTCAATAAAATCACTCTCGCCAAGACCAATCTCGGCATACATCACCTTCAAAAAACTTTTTGAAAGTTGTGATTTCATAATTCGTAGCACATTTCACTTTTTTAAGCTTTTTTGAAACTGCTATGATCTAAATCGAAGTAGCAGAATTATCTCTAGATCCGCTTCAACTAGCAATACTTTACACAAAACTACACACTTGAAATCAAAAATTTTCAGCAAATAAAAAATTCAATTTTGACTCACATCATCAACATCATCCAACATTGGCTTTTCTTCTTCGTAATAATATCGACTGAAAAACAAAATACAGGCGCCATTTACTTCAGACAATAAGTTTAACCTTCAAAGTGTACTGAGGTTACCCATGTCTAACGTTTAAAAATCAGGAAAAATGCTCTACTTTCAAGATGACATTACCAATAATTATTCTTCGTGAAAATGGTGGGTTAAGATATTTTAGTCAGTTAGTTCATATTCATCCCGTTATAGCATTAAACCAAAGGAAAATCCTTTTTTTACCAAAGTGTAAATACGTTTCCTTTTTTATTAATGCATACATAAAAAAGAAAAACTAAATGGTGAAACGACTAGGGATCGCAAAATCCATTGAGTAGGTCAAGTAATCAGATTTATAAATTTTTGTTTTCAAAACACACAAAAATGACAAACACATACTTCGTTCTCGCACTCCTGCCTCGTCCATCTCTTTGAAGTAATTCTCGCTCTTGTATTCTTTCCCTGTGTTTAGCCACTTCATCTGAACTTCCGTAATTGTAGTAATCCATTTTTGAAAAGTCACTTAACTATGTATTCAACATCATAGACTCTTTCGCTTGAAGGTTAAGCTCACCATGTTTACGTTTTGCAACTCGGATATGTGTTCTTTCAGTTGTCAGTAGAGGTGCAGTTGCTGGTACAGGCTTTCGGTCCAATCTCAGTATACTCGAAGAGCCACTACCACTTGGCCCGTCGTATCCATAACGGATACCATCATCAACGAATATATCACGTCTTATTGACGAAATACTTTTCTGGGCTTGATTCAAAATATACTGTTGGAAACCTTCGCCTAATTCGTCCTTCCGACGATTTTCAAATCCACTCGTTGTTTTCTTAACAGCTGAAAAAATAATGTCAACGATGTTCACTCTTTGACACAACTGGTGATATTTTCGGTGACTATTTCCAAACCATTCTTCAGAAGTTCTCAAATTCATTTTTTTCGTGCTGTTTGCCATATTCCCAATTAAGCTTATGAAACATAACAAAAAAAAGAAACTATACACGATTCGACATCAAGTTCCGTCAACGGATCATCATTACTAGTGACAACGTCTACTGGATCATCCTCGTAATTATGTCCAACTTTTTCTTGATCCATAATCCGCGCCTTCTGAAATTATTTTAATAAAATAAAACTATTTCGCTATCCACAGTACTTAAACTTTGAACTGCTCTTTGCTTGTAAACTGAAGACTTAATCTGCTCAACAGAGATCTTCAAAAACTGAATTTTCTGAAAGTTAAGGTTTCACTTTGCACAGAACATACTAGTTTACTCTAAAAGCATGTGACGGCAATAAAATATCGGAACAAATTCCATGAATGAGGATGTTTCCAGAATGTCGTGTTGCGGAGCAAAGAGAAGCGGTTTGAAGAAACGCTTTAACAAAGGAAATAATCTGGTAAAATTATGACTCTTTTCAAGAAAAAAAATTTGTTACTACGTTGGAAAAACAAAATAAAACAAGTGCTTTGATCATAAAAAGCATTATACTAGAAAAAATGAACAGTCATGTTCATTTTGCACAATTTTTATAGTCCCGAAATTCAAGTTGGCTGAGTCAAATTTCATACCAGCAAAAAATTTTTTCATATAGAAATAAAAAAAAATTATGAAAAAAACTCGTAATTGAAAGAGCAGTAAAATAATCCCTTACTCTTCTAACAACGAAGCTAATTTTTATGCAGCAAAAATCTTACCGAAACTTCATCACTTTGGGTCAGTAAGCGGGCAGAATCGAACCCTGATTTTTTTAAACGTTTACTTGAACGTACGGATCGCTCGGGCTCACAACACGCTTCACCAATTTCAGGTTGGTTCTAAAATTTCCTCGATTGTAGAAAAAGTAATCATTGCAATATGGAGAATTTCTATTCAATACCTGACTCATTAACATAGTTTTCATCAATTATCCCAGATATCAATGCTAGTTTAGTGTTAATTACTTAACACATCCATAGATTTGAATGATAAGTTCATTTGAACTGCAAACGTGAGTGAGCAAACGAATATTCAAAAAACGCCCACTGGAGTATGGTTAAAATCACTTCTGTTAACGATTCTAACGTCTCCCTTTCTTAATAATGCAAACTTTCTTACGGTTAAATCTTAAAAAGGAATTATCGAAAAATAACCCTTCATTAAAAATTGCAATCAAGAAAGCTTACCCGCAAATTTTCTTGAACATCAGGAAATAGTTTCCTTCTGGTTCTTCTTCCAGCATCACCTGAAATTTCCGAACAGTTGCTTCAAAAATTTGTTTCCAAAAAAAAATGAGTATGCGCACTAAATGGTTTCATGGTTCAAATAAATGTGGAAAAGTCAAGGTTTGCAGTTACATGCAACAAATGTCCATAGAATCCGAAGCAAGACAATAAAGAAAAAAATACTTCTGTATTAAAGTGGCAATGAACCTGATTCAACTGCTGTTTCATTTGCTGCAATACTGATATCATGGTCTTTAATCCTGAAAGTACACAATCAATTATGAAAAACACTCCGGCATAGCGTAACAGATACCAGCGTTGACTAAATTTAAAACCCAATAATCTTGTCAAAAAAACAGTTTTATGTTTTATAACAGGTAAACTGCTAAAATAATGTCGTATGTTTATAGCTAAATCTACTTCGGATTATGACACTTAAAGGCTGACTTTAGGAAAAGTCAGCGGATGATATTTCCACATATGCAATAGCAGAATCAAATATTTGGTAATATGGTTAAAAGTGAAACAAAACATTTATGTACATTACGTAACCATCTTAGAAAGATATTGTTATACTTGAAAGTTAATTACAAGTATCATTCTGCATGTATGGCTAATGAATAAAAACAGTAATTGGTAGTAAATGGCACTACCACCTATTTCAGGTATTTTCGTCTCTTACCTTTCATGAGTGAAATCATCATTTCCCTCTTCAGCTCGCCCTCTTACACGTATCTTTCGTAGATTTCTGCTATCTGCGAAAAGCAATTGCATTACTATTATCACATACAACAATGAACAATATTTGTATTTTTCAGCGATTTGGTTAACTGCGGGTAATGGTCGAAAAAAAATTTATTTGTAATATTTAATAAACTGTTGATCATCACAATGAAACAAATTTATTCATCTTTTGCTAACAAAATAATTTCGAGATTAATCCCAGCTCCTACTAGAGGAAATTGATATTTGCCTAAATTGTTAATTTTATCCCCGGACTTCGGTGACAAAGTTTTCTCACGCTATCGTTTTAGGTTTTACATCGATAACGTCATATATCTAATTGCTTTGCATGATATGAAAATGCTTGATTCCTCACATATATCACAACATAATTACCATATCTTACAACATTTCCGAGAATTTTTCTCCTTTCTCAAATACTCGACTATCAAAATGACCTAAAAATGGCCATATTGGATGAAAAACTGATAGCATCAGTAGGTATTTTACTTTACCTATTTCATTATGCTATAGTATATAAAGAATAATGAAAAATTTCATCGTATTTGTAGCCCAAAACTGTAAAAGTAGTAAAAGGACCGATATTACTAGAGTACAGCAATAAGAACGGTACTGTTACGGTAGAAATTACGAATAGATATAGTTTACAGTGTTTATAGTCTAGTGTAATTCGATAAAGATACGGTGACAAGAAAACAA